ACTGCCAGCCATTTTCAGAACAGAGAGTCCCATACTGCCAGAGTTTTTTTTTAGCATTTTGACTGATTTTTCAAGAGCAACAGAATAGTTTGTGCTATGACTATGTAAACACCGAACACACCAAAAGAAAGAGTAGACTCTCTATTTTCATCAGGAAATTTTTTTTATTTCTACCTTATTCCGTTCTTCCTCGACTTGCGTCTCACCGGCGACATGTTCTCTCATAGCGAACCGTTACCTTTTTCTCATTTGCCTACAGTCTATGCTCATCTCCCATCAAAAGTGGCACTGCCCCCTAGAGGGTCAATTTGTTACTACATACTCTGTCTAGAATACCTGATATTTACGGACAAGCTTTAGCAGATCGTCCCCCAGACACTCTCGTTGAAAAACATAAAAGACGTCTATAGACGTCTTTGGCAGTCGACGGTTGTATTTGAATTGACGTCTATAGACGTCTTTGGCAGCCAGTGAGTTAAAGGGGTGGATCTCATGTGCGGCGCCACACGGGGATGGCGGTCTGCCGGGGCGCCACCCCGGCGCTGCAGAGCCTGAAGTGGGTGCTGGTCTTCAGGCACTCGGGGGTCAGCTTCAGGCAGACGAAGCAGAACTCCACCTGGCAGCGCGGGCAGATGAGGTTCTTGCAGCCGGTGCGGTCGTGCTCCGCCTTGTGGCCGCAGGTGGGGCAGGCGCGGATGGAGGGGCAGGCGGCCACGCCCTCCACCTGGGGCAGAGCCGTGGGCCTGCAGGTGCGCAGGATCTGCAGGTCCGGGTGGGCGCAGCCATCGGCGCCGCAGCGGTCGGCGGCCGGCGCCCGCCCGCTCCACGGGCGCAGGCACTGCCAGCAGAACTCGTAGGCCGCAGGGCCCCGGTCCGCCGTGCACACCGGGCAGCGCACGCACAGGTTGGACGGGTCCTCGCGCTCCACGAACGACTGGCAGCCCGGACACTGAGGGCCAGAGGGAGGGAGGGAGGGAAGTAAGTAAGTAAGAAAGCAAGTAAGTAAGTAAGTAAGTAAGTAAGTAAGTAAGTAAGTAAGTAAGTAAGTAAGTAAG